TATTAGTTTGAGATCCTCTCGTTTGGTTTGATCGTCCTTTGTCTGGATGTATGACCCAAAACTATCGTACAAAATGAGCGTTTTCAAAATCCCAAATATATTTTGTCTCACTTAACCCTTGGAACCTTAACTGGTCTTCCACTATTGCCCTCACTTATTCTTCTCAAATGACCACCATGTCCTCATAGTTTCTACCTCATATTTTATTTATAATTATCTAATTAAAATAATTCTAACTAATTATTCTAATTATTCTAAATTACTAAAAATCCTCTTAATCATCTTAATTTCCACTACACCACACATACCATCACATCAAACATCATTTTAAACATCATATTCATCTCGACATCATAATATACTTCATATTCATCGAAACATCACTAATCATCACAAGGACTCACATAAAAACACCAAAGCATCATATATATATATATATATATATATATATATATATATATATATATATATATATATATATATATATATATATATATATATATATATATATATATATATATATATATATATATATATATATATATATATATATATATATATATATATATATATATATATATATATATATATATATATATATATATATATATATATATATATATATATATATATATATATATATATATATATATATATATATATATATATATATATATATATATATATATATATATCAAATACTTCACAATGACTCATATGTTCATGCTAAATTAATTAAATAACAATTAATCTAGAATTCGGGGTGTTACACCAAGTCTTCAAAAATCTAGGTTTAATCGGAAGAATAGTATCTTGGGCATTCAAGTTGTCTGAATAAGACATCTAATATATTCCCAAATGAAGCATTAAAACACATGTACAAGTAGATTTTCTAGCAGATTTCAGCATGTCAATTGGTGAGGAGATTATCCCCGTCTGAATCCTTTTGATGGATGAAGCCTCTAGCATTAAAGGGAGTAGTGGTGAGATAATGCTAGATGGACTAGATGTCCCATTGATTGAGTAATCATTAAGGTTTGAATTTAAGGGTAGCAATAATTAAGACGAGTACAAAGCTCTCATCACTAGCATGTCCCTTGTAATGGAAGTAGGTCCATCAAATCTAAAGGCCAAGAGCAATTCTTAGTTGGTGGCGAAGCAAGTCGTTGGCAAGTATCGGGTGAAGAAACCATAACTCATCAAATATTTGAAGAAGTAACATGACTTGTCGGAGCATTTCAATACTTTTGAGATAATGCATGTGCCCGAGAAATAGAATTCAAGGGCAGACATGCTGCCTAATGTAACACCCCATTTTTTTTAAATGATTTATTTAATTGATTTTGTGCCTTATTTAATTATTTAAATGATTTTTATGTGCTATGGGTTGATGTTTGATGAAATATATATGTGTATGTGGTGTTTGGTGTTGGTGGAATTTTAATTTATTTATTTAATTAAATAAGTAGAATAAAAATAATATTAATAATTAAAAAATATAGGCGTTTGGGTGGAAATTAGAAATGTATAGAAATAGAGGGATATAGAGGTGATAAGTCATGGAGTTGGGCCAAAGTGATATAATTAAAAAGATGAGACAATTAGGTTTGGAATAAAAAGGGTTTATGGAAATCTTAATTGTGTCAGTATGTGTTATTTTGGAGAATTAGAGAAAAAGACAAGAGAGATAACCTAGGGCTTGAGGAAGTATCGCATGAAGTACTCAACAAAGTCTCGCTTGAGAGACTTAATAATGTATCGTCAGAAGGATTCAACAAAGTCTCGCTTGAGAGACTCAACAAAGTATCTCCAGAAGGACTCAATTAAGTGTCGTTAGGGGAGTTTTAGAAAATCCTTACCCAGAAAGATCATATGAAACTTCGAGACTGGGAGGAAGGAATAAACGCCTCGATGAGACTCCTCATAATGGTCTGAAGATAAGTTAGGTTTTAAAACACACCAGCCTCTACGATTTCTTATGCTTGAGGTACTATGTATTTGTATAATTGAGGGAGGCCTTTAGAGTGGGGCAAGTGGCATACGTTAAGTTCTTCCCGGGTCGCCTTTTTATTAGTTTGAGACCCCTCGTTTGGTTTGACCATCCTTTGTCTGGATGTATGACCCAAACTCCCCGTTCCTCCAACCACAATCCACGATCATATGTTTGAAGCGTATACTTGGTCAACAATCGTTATGTCTGAAGTCGTGAAACTTAACTACATCTCCTTAATTTCTGAAAAATCAACCATCACGTGAGCTAGTTCTCAATACCCTAACAAACTTAAAGCCTCTGACAACCCTTATCATTAGGGGTTGTCACACATATTATACTTTTAATTAGTACAATTTTATAAATAATAGTCTTAATTTTCCTTTTTTTTTAGTTTCATCTCCTTTTGAGTAAATATTGGTGTTTCGCTATTTTCATTTTTGTGTATCTTTTCTCCTTTCTTTATACATGAGCCTTATTAAAAAACTTTCTTTATCTCATACTAATTGTCACTATTTTACACAATTAAATAAACATAATAAAAAAATGTTAATTTATTGATTTACATAAACTAATTATTAATATATTTTTATTATAATAAATAGTATAAAATAAATTATTACAGTGACAATTCAAGAGAGAGATGTAAATTGTATAACGAAAGAACACAATAGAATAATAACAATTACAACAAAAATAACAATAAATATAAAGATAAGTCATTCGGGTACTACTCGAATTTAATTCTTGACGAAAATAAAACTTTGTCAACGAATCGTTTCTTTAAATCACAAAATTATAATCGATTTATTATATAGATCTTAGCTAAATAAAAAAATAACAAAAGAAAAGTTACAATATAAAATAAAAGTGATAATTTTTTAATAAATACATTTGAGTAAACTTGTCATTAAATATTTATTAAAATATTTTTGAAACTAACCTAAAAAAAAATATCATTAAATAGTGTAGTTGAAGCCGTCAAAGTCTCTAATCAATATTGAGTAGTTAATTGAATTTTTGTAGACCATTCATCGCACTTTCCGCTCAATATCATAAACACATTAGTTATTAACCAATATAAATATCAATATCTTATTAATTACTACTAATAACAAATCAAATCAAATCTAAATATCAGATCTTATTAATTATTAATAAACAAATCAAATCTAAATATCGATATCCAATTAATTAACAACAAATCTATTCCGTGTTTAGTGTTTATAAAAAAGCCGAAACTCTTTCTCATTTGATAACATCACAAACGAAGCTATTGTTTACACAGCGTTGAGCGTTCTTTCTCTCTTTTCATTTCATAACATCACAAACGAAGCTATTGTTTGCCCAGCGTTGAGCGTCTTTCATTCATTCTTTGTTTGAATTCAACTTCAAAAATCAATTGTTCTAGAAACTCAACATGAAAGAAGTTATTATCCGTGAAGTATGGGCATTCAATTTAGAGTATGAATTTAGTCTGATACGCCGAGCTATCCATCAGCATCATTTCATCTCAATGGATACGGAATTCCCTGGAGTTATTCATTCCCCTAAAATTGACCGCCGTCATCTTCAAACCTCTGACCACTATTATTATTTGAAAGCCAATGTTGATGCTCTTAAGCTAATTCAAGTGGGTCTCACTCTTTCGGATTCTCAGGGAAATCTTCCTGATTTTGGAACCAATAATAGCTATATTTGGGAGTTTAATTTCTCTGACTTCGATGTAAACCACGATCCTTATAATCAAGATTCTATTGATATGCTCCGCGGTCAAGGAATCAACTTTGACCATACTTTCTCTCATGGTGTGGATTCAATGCGTTTTGCGGAATTAATGTTCTCCTCTATTCTCATTTTTAACAAATCACTTATTTGGGTAACATTTAGCAGTGCTTATGATTTTGGATATTTGGTGAAGATTTTGACCCGAAAGAATTTGCCTAACCGGTTAGAAGACTTTTTAAGTATAGTGGAAGTATTGTTTGGAAAAAATGTTTATGATATGAAACATATGATGAAGTATTGCAACTCTTTATATGGTGGTCTTGAGAGAGTCGCGACTACCCTTAATGTCTGTCGGGCCGTTGGAAAGTCTCATCAAGCTGCATCTGATAGTTTATTGACATTGCATGCATTCAACAAAATGATGATAACTCATTTTAAATGTGATGAAGCACCCAAGCATGCCGGAATTCTCTTTGGATTTGGATTAGAAGTTGCAGTTTAGTGTATAGAGTACATTCAAGTTGTAATGAAAATTGAAATATATAAAATACTCAATTTTTGATTATTTCCTTTTCTTATTTTACAAATATAATCTCATTATCTAAATTCTATTTATGTCTTTTTTTTGTGGAAGTGTTATACGTACAAAATTTCTATAACAGAGATGGTAAATATTTTGAGATTAGTTGATTACATGAACTATAAATCTCTTTCATTGATATTTCAAAAGGTTAATGTGTAGTATGTTATTCAAATAATCATCTATTTGACAAATACTTCTCAATAGTTAACACATCTAAAATTTGTTACATAATTCACTGCAAAAGGGAATTGCAACTTCCAGCCAGTCAAAATTTACTCTTCCAAATAAAAATATTAGGTAGAAACAAACATGTTATCTGGTTTGGCTTGCAGCAATGGTAAAATCTATTCAATTAAATCCACAAAATATGAAAATATAGACTGTTGCATAACACTTCCAGATACTAATCTGTTTAACTTAATGATATGACGCTTTCCACAAGTAAGCAATTATCAAGTCCCAGTTTGATCCATATAAGTATTGTAGATATCGCGAACCTTCACTTAACTGCTTCAATATTCCACAGAATAGACTTAAATGCTTATAGCAAGTATGCAGAAGTTATAATCCTAAGATCAACTGTCACATGTTATAATCCCTATCTCTCTCACAAGTTTCCATAAAAGTAGAACAAGCTCAGCTTCCCTATCTAGGTTGGCTTCTTCTAACAAGATTAAGCAGATTAAAGCCTCTAGGAATATGGTGGTTCCTTCCCACACGTCATATGCTGATGACATTATGCTTTTCACTAAAGGAAACAGATCTTCTTTGGATGCTATTGCTAATCTCTTTCAACAATGTGCTGATTTCTCAGGTCAGGTTTGTAATACATCCAAGTCAATTTTATATGCTGGTTCAATGTCAGTTGCTAGGCATGGTATGTTGGCAAAGAGGATTAGTTCCACTATGGGTCAGATTCCTTTTATTTATCTTGGAGTTCCAATCTTCAAAGGGAGACCAAAAAAAGCTTACCTTCAACCAATTGCGGATATAATCAAAGGTAAACTTACTGCATGGAAAGCTTCACTCTTGTCTATAGCTGGGAGAATTCAATTAGTAAGGTCAGTAATTCAAGGAAGATAATGCATTCTATTATGATATACTCTTGGCCTGTGAGCTTAATTCAATATGTAGAGAAGTGGTGTAGGAATTTTATTTGGAGCGGGGATACCCAAAAAAAGAAAACTTGTGACGGTAGCTTGGAATCACTGTTGTAAAGACTTCAAGAATGGAGGCTTGGGATTGAGATCACTACGTTTGTTGAATGAGGCTACAAGCTTGTATCAATGCTGGTGCATCTCGAATGACACTGAAGATTGGGCAACTATTTTGAGGGTCAGGGTTTTGAAGAACGGTAGTCCGGTTAATTACCACGTTTACTCTTCCATCTGGACTGGTAGCAAGGAATATATTGGGGGGAGTTGGATCAAAATTCAGCCTGGTTAATTGGAAAAGGGAATCACATTAATTTGTGGTTGAAAGACTGGTTGATATCATGCAGGTTCCTCCTATTTTACATCACAATTTGAAAGCCATGCTTCAAGAGATCATCGAGGGCAACTCCATAACCTTGCCTCCAAGCTTGGTCCAGTTGTGTCCTGCTCTGCCCCAGCTTACTGCTAATGTGTTCATCAATCCGTTGAAGGAAGATATGAAGGTTTGGGAGCCAGAGAGTAGTGGACAGTTATCAGTTAAAGCTGCATATGGTCATCTTTCTAGTGTCCGCCAGGCTACTGCATGGGGAGGGATCATTTGGAATTATGCAATTCTGCCCTCGAAATCCATTCTGTTTTGGAGATTAGTGTTTGGGAAGTTGTCAACTGATGACAACTTGCAGTTGGGGGGTCTGCATATGCCCTCTTACTGTAGTCTGTGCACGCGCGACGGTGAGACCTTGCAGCACTTATTTTTCAGTTGCAGGTACGCTGAAATGTGTGGACCTGGTTAGCGACCTAGTTGAACAGATGCCCTCCCATCAGATGTCTGGAGGACTGCTGGAAAGTCATGGATAGTAGTGGTTCTATGCAGTGCAGAGTTGTGGTCATTGCATTTTCTGCGATGATCAACACTGTGTACAGAATCTGGAATGCTAGAAATCTAGTTCGTTTTCAAGACAGTTTCAAACGTTGGAAGTTTACTTGCTCCTCCATTATTTCTTTAACCTCATTGTCAGACAATCTTACTTCCAAGAGGACCAATTCATCAAATTCAGGACTTTGTTGTCCTAAAAGACTTCATGGATAATATGGAAAAAAAAAAAAAACTAGTCAAAGAAAATCACATTACTTAAAGGAGACAGCAGATTTTTGAATTTAGATGAGTAAAGCACCTGCTCCATTAGAGGGATGCCAATCCAATACTGAGTTAACTTTGGCTCTCCTGAAAACATCAGTTGGATACCTGAAACATCAACAAGGAAAGGCGTTGAAACAACTAAGTAATAATTATAAGCCCTTTTATCCATAATGCATGGAAAGTAGTTCTAATTCAGATTACGAAGATTAGGGGATCCCATTGCACAAATCTACACAACAACTAAATTTTCAAGACACTGAAGTAAATTGAGACTCACATTCGTAATTAAAAGAACAGCGGTTTACCAGCTCCTCTGAATTATTTTGCATGACAAATTTAAAGAACAGACAAGCTAACATATGTAATGCCAATTCTGCACTTAGACTTGATTCATGTATCTTTGAATCAATTGAAATTTATTATCTGCTAAACTTAGCAATCTCAATGAGTCTCAATACAGAGTCAGAAACTTTACCATCGGAGATTCAAGCCACACTTGCAACTAACAATGTATATAATGTTAGACATGGCTAATCAGTCACATAAAGCTGTCAGGTATGTTACACACATGGTTGATAGGTCACATCTTGGAAATTATGGGAGCTTTAATCCCAGATTTAATTTGACCATCTTTTTTATTAGATTGCTGCACTGAAAGCCTCGTTTTGAGATTATAGAGGACATTATGAACTTCAAAATGTGGCTTCGTTGCATTTTTTGTGCTCTCAATCGACTGTTGAACTTTCTTGTATGGGCCAATATTAATATGACCATGATCCTTCTTGTCGAAAAGCTGCATCCTCAAAACATGTAATTATCACCGTATTATCAGCATTATGTTCTGCATGTCACAATTCTAGCTAAACAGAATTTAATCAGCTCAACATTAACTGTAGGAAATATTTCCCCTCTTTAGCCAAACCAAACTCAAATAGACATGCCATACTTTCCTTCCGTGTTTCTCGATTTTTCAACCATACAATGCAAATTGAACAAGACCTTTACAATTTATTTTCTTTGAATTCAAAGAAAAACCTCAACAAAAAAATCCTTAATGAATGACGGCATGAAGGTTATAGGAATTCCCCAGTCCCCAGTTTCCCTGTAATGTCATAATTTAACAGACAAGACTGAGATCTGCTGTGGAAGGTCGGAAGCTTCCAAGCAAGAACTGTCCATCACCCTTTAGCCAAATATTCTCTATTGTGGACAGAGATGATGCCAAAACTTTCTCGGCTTCAGCGGCTGCCCAATAATGGAGCAATACAATATTTAGAACATATCCGGCTAGAGCAAAAACAAATAATGGAAGCAGAAGAAAATTTGTACATAGGGAAACAGAAAGTGTATATAAATAGGTCCAGCAAGCAAGCAAAAATAGAAATTGATCCCTAATCTCTTCTTACATTTAAATTACTGAAAGGAGACCACTATGAAATTTGATTACTGAAAGCAAATAACACACCTGCTCTGCGGCGCAAATTCAGGTGAAGGTGATGCCAATCTAACACTGAGTTGATTTTAGCTTTCTGGAAGCACAAGCTGGGTACCTAACGGAATGATTAGAACAAAAAAAATTAAAAAAAGAAGCACAGAAGTGTAAGTCTGCAATGAAGAAGGGGACAAGATAGCAAAAACAGAAAGAAACCTGCAGTATGTAATGACTAACAAACACAAAGGTGAAACCTACAGGAGGATGCATGTCTTCCCTTTTACAGGAGGATGCATTAGTATCGGCACAGACTTTTTAACGGAGATGGTGCGAGTTAGTGTTTGAATCGAGGACCAGACTGTCTCCAAACGTGTCCATGGTGAAGGGTGGATTATATTTTTGTTTTGATCAAACTGGCATTGTTAATGCCTGCTACTGTCATGCTATGTTTTAGACTATTTCTGAAAATTATTGTAATGTGTTTATGGGTAATATACTGGTTTTGAATCATTCTCAAAAATTGTTAGCAATAAAGTATTAGTGTGAGTTCACAACCCATACTGAAATCTGCTATGGACGGTTGAAGATGATAAAACTTTCTCTGCTTCCGCAGCTGCTTTTGGATTCAGTGGACGGCCAAGTGCATGTCCTAATATAGTATTTGTTACATAATTCACTGCAAAAGCGAATTGCAACTTCCAGTCAGTCAAAGTTTGCTCTTCCTAGTAAAAATATTAGGGAGAAACAAACATGTTATTTGATTTGGCTTGCAGCAATGGTAAAATCTATTCAATTAAATCCACAGAATATGAAAATATAGATTGTTGCATAACACATGATTTAACTTAATGACATGACGCTTTCCAAAAGTAAGCAACTATTAAATCCTAGTTTGATACATATAAGTATTGTAGATATCGCGAACCTTCACTTAACTGGTTCGAGAATCCACATAACAGACTTAAATGCTTATAGCAAGTATGCAGAACAAGCTTAGAGGAGACATTACTCAAAGGAAATCACATTACTTAAAGGAGACAGCAGATTTTTGAATTTAGATGAGTATAGCACCCGCTCCATTAGAGTGATGCCAATCCAATACTGAGTTAATTTTGGCTCTCCTGAAAACATCAGTTGGATACCTGAAACATCAACAAGGAAAGGCGTTGAAACAACCAAGTAATAATTATAAGCCCTTTTATCCATAATGCATGGAAACTAGTTCTAATTCAGATTACGAAGATTAAGGGATCCCATTGCACAAATCTACACAACAACTAAATTTTCAAGACACTGAAATAAATTGAGACTCACATTCATTGACTTTGGTGGTAAGGAAGTCTTCGTGACTTTGTTTTATAACTATCATCCAATGATGTGTTGGATGACAAGTCCGTGCATACAAACTTCGTGACCCTATAATGGAGCTAATAAAGTATTTAGAACATATCCGGCTAGAACAAATAAACAAAAGGGTTATTTTAACACACCTGCTCTGCGGCGCAAATTCAGGTGAAGGTGATGCCAATCTAACACTGAGTGGGTTTTAGCTTTCTGGAAGCATCAGCTGGGTACCTAATGGAATGAGTAGAACAAAAAAATTCAAAAATAGAAGAACAAAAGTGTATGTCTGCAATGAACAAGGGAACAGACACTTGATGCAGAAAATTTCTCCATGAATGTCATTGTGTAAAAACAACAAGAGACAGGCAGAATCTTGCAAATTTCTTAGTATCAACGGACACTTAATGAAATTTCTTTGGTATCAACCGACAATTTGATTGAGAGGTCCCTTGTACAGGGTGAATTAAGTAACTAACATAAGTATCCATAAAATGCAGAAGCAATATAGATAAGAATTGCATGACTGCAAAGAAGAAAATAAGACATGAGCAAATACAAAACTAATTATAATAGCCGATTAAAATTATAGAGAGTATGTGGAATAACTTATATAATGTTTATTTGTCTTTAATAGGTCGTTTTCAGCTAACAATTAGCCATACTAATATTGGCAGTTTAAAAAACAGTATTGTAGTATTGCATAGTTTATAACTTAAAAGTTAGTATGAGAGACAGCAATAGTCAAACAGATGGAGTGCAACCTATTCCATGCATAATTAGTATGAGAGACAGCAATAGTCAAGCCTAACCTTCAATCCTCTCAACAACCTTCATCTTCCATGCATAAGCCTATTCTGTCGGGTGGAGTTAAGCATAGCCGTAACAAATCGTCACTGAAAAGTGCAAATGACACTATGCTTAGTAGAAGATTTCCTTCTTTACCATCAAAATCTAGTGAGATGGCCTCAAAGATACTGCAGCAACTTCATAATTTGGTTTCTTCCAAAGAAAAATCATCCGTCCTTAGGCTGCCGAGTGTGAAAGATAAGTCTCCTCCAACAAAGTTTTCAAATATGAGCAAGGTGGAAAATGATCTGAAGCCTGTTTCACTGACTCATGAACTAATTCCGGCAGTGGAACCAAGTTACATCTATTGAAAAATCTAACTCCACTTCACCAAATGGATCACCTGCTAATCCTCCCCTTGGGAATAATGTTGCTCCTTTAACATAGAGTTTTCTTTTTATATTCCTCACACTTTCATTATTTTTTATGTATGATTGATTATCAAGCAAGAGACTTGTTTAATTAAAGATTTTAGCAGTATATAACATATGAGAAAATTTTATGTTTTGTTTATGATAGAACAGAAACGCGAATACAGAACAAAGTAGAGAGAAACACAAAATTATCTCAGTAACCTATAGTTATCTCAACAATCTATAATTATCTCAACAATGAGTTATACTCTCACCAACCCATAGTTATCTCAACAATTCATAATTATCTCGCTAATATGAGTCATATTCAACAACCTACACCTTAGCGAATATCAAACCTCTATAATGACTTCCTGCATAATGATGCATCTTGGAAACTGGGAAAACACACTTTCTGCTTAACATTGAGAAACATGTAACAAGTTCAAACAATGTTTGAACTTGTCACTAGTGACTGGCTTGGTCAACATATCGACTGCATTCTCTGACGTGTGAACCTTCTTTAGTAATATATGTCTGGATGTCAACAACTCTCTGATCCTGTGGAACCTCACATCAACATGTTTGATCCTAGCATGATACACATGGTTGTTTTCCAAATAGATAACACTCTGACTATCAGAATACAACTGAACTTCACCTTATTCAATACCCAACTCTTTCACTAACCCTGTAAGCCACAATGCCTCTTTAACAGCTTCAGCTACTACCATGTATTCTACTTCAGTTGCAGACATAGTTACTATGAATTGAATTGATGATTTTCAGCGTATAGGTCCTCCCACAAGAGTATAGACATATCATGTTGTAGACCTCATATAATCCATATCACCTGCATAATCAGAATCCACATATCTCACAACTGATGGAATACCCTGCTCCATGTAACGTGGTACCATGACCTGTTGTATCCTTCAAGAACCTTAGGATCCACCTGAATGCTTCTCAATTTTGCTTCCCTAACTTGGACATGAACTTGCACACTTCACTAACTGCTTGTGTCAAATCCCGTATAGTGTAAACCATAGCATACATCAAACAACCAACTGCACTAGAATAAGGAATCTTAGACATACCTTCAATCTCTGAGTCTGTCATCTGACATTGTTCTAAAGAGAGTTTAAAATGATTCGCCAATGGGCTAATCACAAGTTTTGCTTTTCTGAGACAACTATAATTTATTAGCTCCTAAGTCCCTGTGAATTTTCATCCAAAGAATCATCTTTGCAGCACCTAGATCCTTCATATCAAACTCCTTACCCAACTTGTTCTTCAACTCATTTACATCATGCAAATGGTTCACAACAATCAACATATCATCAACATAAAGTAACAGGAAAATATAATAGTCATCATAAAGGCTCCTCATAAACACAATCATAATCACACCTTCTATAACCAATCCAGAGCATGTATGAATCAAAGCGCTTGTATCAATTCCTTGAAGACTGCTTCAATCCATACAAAGACCTCTTTAATTTGCAAACAAGTTTACCATGTCTAGTATCATTAAATCCCTCTGGCTGCTCCATGTAGATTTTCTCCTCTATATTCCATGGAGGAAAGTTGTTTTTACATCCATCTGCTCTAAATGCATATTCTTGCAAGCTACCAGGACCAATATTGCTCTGATAGAAGTGTGTCTAACGACTGGACTGAAAATCTCATCATAATCAATCCTCTTCTGTTGTGAATACCCTTTTGCAACTAGGTGAGCTTTGAACTTTTCTTTTTATGTTACTGCTGATTTTTTCCTATACACCCACTTGCAACCAATAACTCTCTTTCCATGTGGCAGTTGAACAAGATCACATGTTTTATTATTTTTCAAGGACTCCATCTCCTCCACCATAACACTCATCCACTTATCTTTCTCACGGATAGCCATAGCCTTTCGAAAGGTAGAAGGGTCTCTTGGACTGGTAAGAAAAGCATATGTTGTTAAGTCTTCATACCCATATCTCATTGGAGGTGTAATACGACGGGGTTCCCTATCACGCACGAGTGATAGTCTTGTACTTTATCTGAATATTGTACTCCACTTGAATCTGAGTCTGGTTCATCATATTGTTTGGCTACAATCTATCTTGGACTCACTAATGGCTCCTCAATGTCCATTTGAATCTTGTCCTGGATGGAATGTTATGCCTTAGTATTTGGAATAACTATCACATATGATTGTTTCAACATCGACCGCTCATCGAATACAATATATTTTTTGATAACCACCTTCCTCTTCAATGGATTTGATAACTTGTACCCCTTCACACCTTTTTGCCAATAAAGACGCATTATTTTGACTTGGGTTCAAGTTTAGACCAATCATCACTAGAAATATACACATATGATGGACACCCAAAAATCCTTAAATTGCATAGATCTTTTGAAGTATGTCTTATAACCTTAAGTGATGAAAAGAGAGAAAACGTATTTCGAGATTACCATAAATCAAGAAGTCGAAAAATATCAAGAATGTCTGGTTTGGACGGTTTGCAGATTTCGAGTTTGACTGATTTGGTTTGCAGATCCCTTATTTGATGTTAGAGTATTAGATATATATTAATTTAGAAATAGGCTAAATTAATATAAAATATATTATAAGATATTTATAATATTGTATTCTAATAATTAATGGGTTGTGCTTTGGGTTTTGTATGTTGAGTTTTAGCAATTATAAATATGTATATCTTCTGATTATTACAGTGT